CTTTTTGAATTATACAGCAAATATAAATTTAGATCATAAAGCGAAAATTTGAGTTTAATACAAAATGTAATGAGTTATACAGCAAATATAAATTTAGATTATAAAACGAAAAGTTTGAATTTATATACATAAGTATTAAATATTTAATCGGGTTGGGGGTACAATCTTTCTTCCACTCCTCGTTCTAACAGCGGAAGCATTATCAGTTAATTCTATCGTGGTGCCTTCAAGAGGCTGTGAATCAAAAGCGGTGGTTTCTTTATCTCCCCCATTAGCGTAAGCGTCCCCAATACTCCGTTTCAGTACCGGCTTTAATATGTGCTCTCGGTTTCTTCTGTAGACCACACCCTCAGGGTCTTGAACCATGAATGACCTTGGCTCCTTTAAATCTTTTATTATTGTACCCGGGCACCAAACTGATGTTGGTGTTTTCTTAAAATAAATTTTCTCTCCCGGATTTACTGGTTTCAAATTTTTTGCGGACGTATTATAATTTTGTGACATTTTAATCTTTTGTTTGTTTATTTGTCGTCTATACTCATTAACATCAACTAATTTTGATTTTAAATTTTCTTGTTGTGATGGCAATTTGGTTCTCAGCTTTCTCGACATCAGTAACTCGGATGGACTTGGAAGATCGTCTTTGGGTGTTGTTCTATAATGCAGAAGCGCAGTATATGGGTCTGTTCCTTTTTCTTTGCATTTGTACAACATTGTTTTGATTGTCTGAACAGATCTTTCTGCTAAACCATTTGATCTTGGCATATAAGGACTGGAAGTGATGTGTTCAATACACCAATCTGCGCAAAACTGTGCAAAGTCTTTTGAACTGAAAGGCGGGCCATTATCCGTTATGAACACAGCCGGTATTCCCTGTCTGGCAAAAATTGACTTGAGTTTCATTATAACCTGGGTGCTGGAATACCCCGTACTTAAAATTTCACATTCAATGAACTTTGAGTAGTAGTCAACAACTAACAAGTAAGTCTTTTTATCAAATTCGAACAAGTCAGCACCCAGCTTGTACCAAGGAATGTTGACCATTTCATGGCACAACAACTTTTGTTTAGGATTAGATTTACGAAATTTTAGACAAATTTCGCAACTGGAGACTACATTGTGGAGGTCATTATTGATATTAGGCCAGTACACAGAGTTTCTAGCCAAATTCTGGCATCTCTGTATACCCATATGTCCCTCATGTAAGTAATACAAAATTTTCGGTCTAAGATTTTTTGGTACAACAACTCTGTTATTTTTTAGCAATAGCCCATCTATCTCAACAAGCTCATCTTTAACTTGATAATAAGGCATCAATTCTTTATCAATTCGCTTTTTATTTGCGGGCCATCCATTCTTCGTAAAATACAAGAGTTTTTGAAAAATTGTATCTGTTTTTGCTGCCTCTCGAAACTCATCTAAGTGACTACTTGGCAAAGCAATTTGCGAAATAATTAAATTACAGTGAATATCAATATCTTTGTCCACTTCCGTCAGTGCATAATCTTTAAGTGGCGCTCTGGATAACGTGTCGGCAATAAACAAGTCCTTTCCGGGCTTGTAAACGACAGTAATGTTGTAAGCTAATAATCTGAGCATGAATCTTTGCAGTCGCGCGGGAATCTTATACAAAGGTTTGTTGACAAGTGTAACCAACGGCTTATGGTCCGTTTCTACAAGGACATGACGTCCATAAACATACTGATGGAAGCGTGTACATCCGTATAGGATAGCAAAGAGCTCTTTTTCGATCTGGGCATAATTTGTTTGTGTTTCAGTTAGTGAAGCAGATGCATAGGCAACAGGGTTCCTGTCATGCATAATGACTGCTCCAACAGCATATTTGGATGCATCGACTGACATGACTAATTGTTTTTTAGGATTAAAGTAGGTCAAAACCGGTACATTTGTAATTTCTTTAAGTAAATTTTGAAATTCTTCCTCTTGTTTATTGTCCCAATGCCATACTACATCATTCTTTAAAAGGTCTCGTAAATATTTCGTTTTTGCTGACAGACTATCAATAAAACAACCCAAGTAGTTAATCATTCCCAAAAAGCGCTGTAATTCTTTTACATTTTTTGGTACCGGCATCTCAACTATAGATTTAATTTTCTCTTCATCTGGCTTAACGCCTTTTTCACTAAATATGTGTCCAACGAATTTGACTTCCTTCTTTAAAAATTTCGATTTTGATTTATTGAACCTTAGCCCAACACTTTGTGCCCTTTCCAAAACTGACTCTAAAATGGCATTATGTTTTTGAACGTTCGGAGCATGGATCAAAAAATCATCCATATATATTATTAGACCCTTAATGTGGCCGAATAGTCTAATCATTTCTGAATGAAAAATTTCCGGCGCTGCATTGATACCAAACGGTAATCTCAGAAATCGGTAACGCCCAAAAGGCGTGTTAAATGTACATAACTTTGATGATTCTATATCTAATGGTATCATCCAGAAACCTGAGTTAGCATCTAATGTGCTGAATATTTTAGAACCTGCCATTTGCGACTTACATTCATCGATGTTCGGAAAGGAAAATCTTGGTCTGACTATAGCCTTGTTTAAATTTTTAGGGTCCAAACACACACGTAAATCTCCGTTGGGCTTAGCCACTAAAACTATTGAGTTGACCCATTCGGTCGGTTCACTAACTGGCTCTATAACCTTTAACTTAATCATACTGGACAGTTCCCTTTTTAGTGGCTCAAAAAGTCCAAATGGAACTCTGCGTGGTGCATCTACTACTGGTTGATAGTTTTCCTTTAATTTCAAATGACACTCACTTTCCAACTGCCCTAATCCTTTAAAAACTTCTTCATATTTTTGTAACAGGCTCTCGCAGCCTTTTGATTCACAGCTTATTGTAGTCACCATTTTTACCAAATTCATTTTAATAGCCAATTCAAGACCGATCACATTTTTACATTTCATATTAAGGACATAAAATTCAGCAGAATAACTTACTTTTTTATACAACAATTTTACATTGACTTTTCCTAGTAGAGGCAATCTTTCCCCGCTGAATGTTAAAATATTATGACATATCTTACTTTCTAGCTTACCGATATTTAATTTATTAAAGTTTTCGATCGATAGTAAGTTCGCCTGGGCCCCCGTGTCTATTTGACACTTCAGCTTCGCGTTGTGTATCTCCACCTCAATGTTCCAGTCTTTCACCGCACCAGTTCTGCCACTGCTAACAATTTTACTCACTCCTATCACATTCGTTTTTGTTGTTAAGTTTTTGTTCCTGACAGTTTCAACATGTATTCCGCCCACGAAAAAATTGCGACTCGTGATCTTCATTTTCTTCCTCTTCTGCACTTGTCTCGCTCTCTTCGTATACGTTTCTCACATATCTCTTTTGCCCGTTATTCCCCATGTTTCCTTTACGCCATTTTGTGAAGCAGACATTTGCAAAATGGTTCAATTTTCCGCACGTGTAGCATTTTTTACCTTCTGCCGGACATTTGGTTTTATGTACTTGCCCACATTTATCACACGTTCTTGATGTTTGCTGCTGAGCCTGTCTAGCACTCTTCTCCTTGTAGTTCAATGCAGATTTTCTCAAAGCTGCTACCTGTATGCTTTCGGTTGGCTCACGTTGTATCATGGCTGCATTTTCTTTTGCTAGTTCCATGCTATTAGCTATTTCAATCGCTTTATGCAATTTTATGTTGCCTTCGCTTAAGAGCCTCTCCTTTATTTTATTGTATTTTTGTGATAAACCGCATATAAAAATGTCCCTTACCAGATCTTCACGTATATCCCCGAATTCACAAGTTTTGCTAAGATTTTGCAATGCGGCAGCGTACTGACTTATTGTCTCTTCCGAGGATTGACGTTTTGTAAAAAACCTGTGGCGCTCTATTACTATATTGACTTTTGGAGTGAAATACATTTCCATTTTGCTCCATAAGTCGTCATATTGGACGCTGTCTATATCGACATTAAACGAAGTGAAAATGTTTAGACATTCTGCACCCAGATGGTGCAAGAGAAGTGCAACTTTTCTTTGCTCGGTTTGATTATCTAAAGCAGATGCACGCAGAAATATTTTGAACTGCGTACTCCAAGCCTTCCATTCCGCCGCCAGATTTGACGCTCTTATGTTCAAAGGTGCTATGGTAGTAGCAATAGATAGCACTCGCTGTGCCTCTGACATGGTAGCGTTGCCTTCATCTACCATTTTTAATTTTTTATACACGTAGTATATACTATTTTTATTTAATAGCTTAGCTTTGGTTGCGCGTTTCTAGCTTTTGAGTTATTTCGTTGTGCAACTATTTTAATTGACCCCACCTGACGCCATGTGTTACGTTCAAGCTTACTTTTGGAAAGAACTTTATTTTATATAT